CTCTCTGACCAGCTTCAGCAGCATCTTCACAAGGTCTTCAGCTTTTGTTCTGGGGTTGATACACACATTTCCCTCCAAAACACTTCATCTCTGGGACACAGAATCCGTCTCCTTCCTGAGCACTATGATGGCTGGACATTCCCATGGTGTGTATACTTGATATAATTGTTTGAACAGATGAACGTGGAACCTTCAGGCATCTGGAAGTTGTACCCAAGGATGAACCAGACTGGTGGAGGTCCACAATTCTCTTCCTGATATCTTGGCTGATTTCTTTAGATGTTCCATGTTGTCACAAAAGGAAGCAGTGTGTTTGAGGTGTGCCTTAAAATACATCCACAGGTGTGCCTCCAGTTAACTCAGATGTTGTCAATGAACTTATCAGAAGCTTCCAAAGCCATGACATCATCATCTGGGCTTTCCCAAATAGTTTGAAGGCATAGTAATCTTAGTGTTTGTAAACTTCTGACTTTGAAGAAAGTAATAAAAATTCTCTCCAAAATGGTCATTACCAGAAACACAGTGGAGTGAAATTTTTGGGGTAGAGAATTTGTACAAAAGCCTCACCTTGGGGTAGGAGGGCACATCTCTACGAGGAGTCAGCTTCTTATTGTCTTCCAGGAAATTGCTGAAAGAGAAAAATCAGCTTAATGACGAAAAAGCAAGAATAAATAACAATATCGGTACTTCCACCATCACCTGTACAGTAGACTTTTAGTCATTAGAATGAGCTTGAGCTGCAAACTAGAACTTTCAGGATGAACCATCATAATCTTACTTACACTGCTCATTCCCTCTCAGTTATATCTATTATGACTATTTCTAATTATGTAACTGTTTCTACTACCATTGGTACTACTCTGCTATATGAACCACTACAAACATTGAATAGGGCTTTAAATGTGGACTATTTCCATAATGTACTCATATTTCATCCAATTATTTATTTATCTTTAATTACAATATTTTCATAAAGCAGTGACGCCCATCACAAGCTCCTAGAGCCTGAAATGAATCCAAAGGTGTTTAATTTACAATAATTCAAACTGAGAAAAGCAGCCAGCACTCACATTAGGACTAAGGAATGTTTAGAATTCTTTATCATAAATTATTTTCACGATTAAAAAAATATCAGAATAGTAGCTGACTAATCCTATCATAAGAGACTAATTGTTTGGATACATGCACCAATAATGCAATCACTACTGCTATTAAAGATAAAGATGAAGATAACCTTTATTGATCCCACAGTGGGGAAAGTTCACCGTTACAATATCTCCAAAAAAAGTGTACGGTCAGTGCAAGAATAATTGGGAACACCCAATGCAAATTGTAGGAAAGAAACAGAAACAGAAAACACACAGTGCAAATATTGCAAGAGACAAAAAACATTATATACAGAAGAGTTTTTTTTTTTTGTTTTTTTTTTAAAGAAGACTATACACAAAGATGAGGTAGTAATGGCTGTTGCACATAGTGGAATGTGTTTGTTGGTGGAAAAAAGAAAAAAGTTACTGTAATAATATCAAATTACAAATGTTTGTTGTTGTTGTCACCTGTTGTTTCTGGATGCCATCTCCTCACGGAGTTTCTTGATGTCGTTGCGACATTTCTCAATCTCCACCACCTTCATGCCCTCCACTGCAGACAGAGAGAGTCATCTATCAAAACCTTATTAAACCTCTTTAACTTAACTTTTTCAACCTAATTGTTAATATTTTTGACCTCAAACTCGTGAATTTTCTTGGGAGTTTGTGTAAAATTAACAAGGCCTCATATGCGTGTACTTAATTAATTGACTTTTCTTAATCATTAAGGGGTTGGACCAGACAGACATATAATAGTTAAAACACACTATAAAGTTCTGTAAAGCTGAGGGAAGCTGCAGATGACCTGATACCCTATCCCAAAATCCAAAGTACAACCTGGAGTGGAGTATTAGTTTCGCAGACTGAATCTTTCAGCCTACTAGTGCCCAAGCAGAAATATTATGGCAATTTTATGCTGGAGCCACACTGAGTGTGCCATGAATTTTATGGAAATACAATTGTGTATGATGACAATAAAAGCATTCTATTCTAATTGGAGAGGCTGAGTGGAAACAGCAGGGGTTTGGAGAATGTATGAGTGGAGTTGGTCATACTGAAGGTTTTCCCTGGGGGAAGAGGAACAGATCCTGCAGCTGTATGCTAGCCTCACTGTGAAATCAGCAAAGCTAACTCACTTAGCATGTCTAAACTGCTTTAGCTTTAATATTAACAGCTGTCTTTTGTCTGATTGAATCAGTCACCGCAGCAGATTGCAGCTGGACTTTAACATATCTTTGTGTAACGCCTTCCCTCTCTTTCATCAGTCCACCTCTCTCTGCTGAAACCAAAAAGATCGCCTTCAACAACACTTCAGTTCCCATTAGAATAGGTGACCATGGCGACCAAAGCAATGACAAGATGGAGATCTGTGTGGGCGCCACGCTGTTGCTGTAGCGACCAGGTATTCAGGCAATTGGCATGCTTGTGTGAAGTGGTTCTGAGTCAGATGTGAAACTACAACTGCAATGCAGACAGTTTAGAGTGTAGGCACTGAAAAAAAATGTTTTAAGGAAGAAATCTTAAGGTGCATTTTGTAGAAGTGTGTTCTTGATACTCTTAGGTCTTTACAGTGAGGATTTAATTAGGGAATTTGATTTGCTATGCCTGAAATCACAGTAAGGGGACTTTACAGTGTGACCTTTTTATCTGTCCTGCAGAGTTGTTGCCAAATCAGAATTTTGGAAGATGCCTTGGTTCAATTTAATGAATTGGCCATAACCACAGAAAGCAGATCTGAATTTGTTTGTTTGTTTTTCTTTTTCATTTTTGCTTTCAGTTAATGTTGTTAGAGACAATACATTTTTTTGTACAAGATATATTGTTGGAACAAAGAACTCTCTGTTACCTATAACTATGTTCTTGATGAGGGACAATTCAATTCTAAATTTGAAGATTTTTGTGAACTTGTAACCTTAAAATAAAACGTGTTTAATTTTTTGTCGCTCCAAATTTGCGTCACAACCACCGATGTGCAACACCTGCCAGCACACACAGTGTTGCCAACTTGCCGACTTTCTAGCTACATCTGGCGACTTTCCAAAGCCTCTTGGCAACTTTTTTTAAAATCAAAAGCGACCAGTGACCAATCTAGCGACTCTTTCTGGTGTTATTGGAGACTTTTCTGGTGTTTTGGAGGCTCTGACGTGAAAACACGTATCGTTGTGCAGTTACTGTCCTCAACGAGCAGCGGTGCTGCCGTGAGCTCCTCCTGTCCCAAAGCGCTCACAGGAGTGGTCAGTAGAGGTGGTCAGTAATGAAATACAAATACTTCGTTACTGTACTTAAGTAGATTTTGCTGGTTCCTGGTTTCAGCCATTCTCCGGTTCACTCCGCTGCCAGCTGTTGCTCCCTGCTCTCCATCTGTATTGAGCCAGTTAAGCCGCCACCGCTCTGTCTGCCGTTTATTCAGTAACTGCATTTAGTGTGTACATTTAGTCTGTCATTACTTAGTAGTTTTTCCAGTTAGTCTGTTCACCTTTCGTTCAGCTCGTTTTCAGTCTGTGAGTATCTTCGCCAGTTCTATTTAGTCTGTCTGTCATCTCAGCATTTAGCTTTGAGCTCCTTCTGTTAGTTGTTTAGTGTTTTATTTTCCTTCAGTACCAAGTCTGAGCTTCATTTTGTGTTCTGTTAGTTTCTCAGCATTTTTTAGTCTGGGCTCCCTTGGTTCAAATTTAGTTTTATTTTCTTATCGCATACTCAGCATTATTTTCCTGAGCTCCCTTCGTTCTTTTATTTTCAGTCTGTCTTTCCATCTCAGCACTTAGTTGAGCTCTTCGAGTTAGTATTTACTTTTAGTTTTCTTCCTAGCCAGTTGATACCTGGTGTTGGTTGAGCCTTTTGAAAATTATATTGTTTTTTGGCGTCTCTTTATTGTGTAATAAATTGTTAAACTGCTTTGGTCTACTGTGTCCCTGTTGTCCTACGCTTGAGTCTCTGCCCTGCCCGTAACACTACTCTTCTATCAAATAATTCACTGTTAGTAAGATGTTTCCAAACTCATACTCAAGATGCCATCGCTGTAAAACATGTATTGGATCAGTTATGCACATTTTTTGGGAATGCAAAAAATTGAAGCACTTCTGGAGGGCTGTACATGATTTGACTGACAAAGTTGCGGAAACCCCGCTGGACATTACACCAACATGCAATCTCCTAATTACAGAACTGGACAAAACCCTGTATCCCACATACAGGAAGAGGATCAACATAATATCCTACATTGCAAAGAAATGTATCCAACTCAACTGGAACCAGCAGAGAACCCTATCATTTAATCTGTTCAAACAAATTAAACGATCATTCATTTAAAAAAATTAGCGGGACATATTCCTGAGGATATAGGTGTCATCCCCTCGACTTCTGGAACCAGCTAGTGGCTGCTGGACCATTTTTTCTTCCCTCTCTCTTGCTCTCTTTCTGGCTCTCTCTCTCTCTCTCTCTCTCTCTCTCTCTCTGGGCCTCAACACGGCTGGCGACGGAGCATGCAGACAGGTGTGCCAGGTTACTAATCAGCTGAGTGACACTTCATGATTGGACCGTTCCAGCTGCAACCTTTCTGTCAGCCCGGATTTCAGCTCAGATGCTCAGATGCCAGAACGTTGTACCACGAAGTCAGTTCTCCGTTCTTGTACTCGTCTAGCCGCTTAGCTCGCTCAACTTGTGATTAACTTTTGTTTCCTTGTGCCTAGTTGGATCTTCTGCCAACCGCTGCCATTCCTGATGCTTCGCCGTTCACCAGCCATCTCCCACCTCTCCTCTGACGAGCTACAGCCGGGTTCCGCAGCACACTTGTCTGCCCTCACTCCACCGTTCAGCTGCCCTCAAGCCCCCTCCATCGCCAGCCGTTGCTTCCCCGCACTCTCTCTGTACTGAGCCAGCTAAGTTTGATTCTCGCCCGTCAGTGGTAGTTACGCTAATCGTAGCTTCGGATTTTTCTTTGTTTGTTGTAGATTTGTTGTGTTCTCTTGTTGTTCCGTCAGTGTAGAAATACGTAGCTCTGGTTTTACTAGCCTGTCAGTGGGGCTCTGTAAGTTTCCCTGCTCGCCAGTATTAGCTTCCGTCAGCACTTTATTTTAGTCCGTGCTGACTTCTGATTTGTTCATTACATGCCTTAGTTAATCCTCCTGTCTAGTATTTCTGTTTGCACTTGGTATTCACTCGCTCGCTCTGTTAGCCTTTCTCAGCATCTTAGTCTGAGCTCTTTATGTTAGCGTTTTTGTTACTTGCCTGTCAGTCCACTCAGCATTTAGCTTGAGCTCTTTGTGTTTACATTTGTTTTTTTTAGTTTATCAGTTTACTTCCTAGCCAGGTGTTACCTGGTTCTGCTCTTGTTACCGTGCTTGTTAGATTCTCGTTTTTGTAAAATAAACTACTAACGTTGTCTACTGTGTCTTTGTTGTTCTGTGCCTGAGTCCTTGTCTTTAATAATGGGGACCGCTGATGGACCTCTGACACCACCTACTACAGCAAGGCAGGCTTGAACCTTGTCTACAAAACAGACCTATGAACGCTGAACATGGCTTGTATCGAAGTACTGTTTTATAAACTGCCATTGTAACTATTTATTTCTTTTTGCTGTTTTTCCTTTTGTCTTGAGTCCACTTTAATGTTTTTTTTTTTGTTTGTTGCTTTTTGTTTTCCATTTTGTTTGACCTCCTTGTTTTAGGTTTAAAGAAAAATAAAAATGTTAAAGCAAATAAAAGATAATTGAAAAAAAATCACTACTTCACCAGTCAAATAATCTGAATTATTAAAAAAAAAATGCTTTTAAAAAATTAGTCATCTGAGACTCAGCAAAACAGATTGGCAAGATAGTGCCGTTCTACAAATTCAGAAGAATTTCCCCTAGCCTGGAAAGACACTTATCATTCATGAAAATGTGATTCATAGGACAAGAGCTGCTTACTATTCATCCTTTACTGAGGAAACCAAGAACAAGCCCAGGTTTCTGTTCAGCACTGAAGCCAGGCTGACAAAGAGTCACAGTTCTGTGGAGGCTTGTGTTCCTTTAGCTGGCAGCAGTGAAGCTATTCTGACCTTCTTTATAAAATTTTGAGTATTATAGATGAAAAATCCACATTTCTGTTGTCTAAGTTCACGTATATGTCTATTCAGTGATTCAGTTGTCAACCAAAATTTACTGGAATTGAAAAACTTTGCTTGTGTTAAATATTGCTAATTGATGAAATCGGGATTAATTACAAAACCTGTAGTTAATTAGATGAATCTTTTTAATAGAGTCCTAGCACTAGTAATTAGGAAGCACTGTATAAATTTCCATTATGCAGATGACACTCAGCTGTATTTATCTATGAAGCCAAATGAAATCAATCAGTTGGTCAGACTCAAGGCATGTCTGAAGGACAAAGGCCTGGATGACCTGTAATTTCCTTCCTTTAATTTCAGACACAACTGAGGAGCATCCTGTCTCAGAGTGATGCTGGGAAACTAGTCCATGCATTTATAACTTCTAGACTGGACTATTGTAATTCCTCATCCTCAGGATGTCCTAATAACTCTCTTAAAAACCTCCAGCTAAGCCAAAATGCTGCA